GGGTGGGTTTTTGGATGTGAGGGGTGGTGAAGAGAGTGGAGGAGAGGGAGGTGGGTCGGGGGGAAGGTTTCTGGGTTTGTTTACGGGGGTGAGGGATTGTGGGGGAGGTGGGTTTCAATTTGTGTGTGTGTGTTTTTTTTTTAGGGTAAATTAGTATAATATTTTTAATGAATAAAAAAAAAAATTTGCCACGTGGCACAAATGTGGCTGCCACGTCAGCTCTTAACGGATCAATGGATGGAAAATGTAACACATGTATTATATTGAAATAAAATAATACATGAGGTATGAAAGTGAAATGTTTTGAAAATGTTGTATGAGGTTATAATAGACCTCAAACATGAGGTAGTAAAGTGTAATTTATCCTAGAAAGAAATAAGCCTTGGCCTCGCCAAAAAAAAAAAGAGCCTCGCCATATTCCCAATCTTAAAACTTTCTTCCAAACATCCGATTTGCATGATTACACTTCCTTCTCAAGACCAAACTCATAAATCCGACGCTAAAATTTTTTGGGCTAACCTTCTGGAGAAAAGGGCGCTGATTTTTTTAAATATTTTGAGTTACAAAGTGACGAAATTTCTAGATACTTTTCACTTGTGCGAGTATGAGAACTTACTTCTGCGACTACTCGACTTTTGTGAGTTTTTATCGCTACAAAATCTCCTTAACTTAAAAGCCTCATCTATTTGTCATTTTACTATGGTCTAGTTTTAGGTTCGAATTTCGCCAAAAGTGAATTTAAAATACATTATTGCTAGTCAATTGAGGTTAAGCCCATTTTTTCCCTTACTGTAGATAATATCGTTTGTTCAAAAAAAATCGAGTAGTTACGGAGATAGACTCCAAGATAGAGTATGTTTAAGTTAAAGAGATTTTGTCAGAATAAGAACTCACAAAAGTCGAATAGTCGGAAAAGTAAATTCTTAAACTCGCACAAATGAAAAGTATCTCAATATTTCGCCACTTAGAAACAAAAAAATTCAAAATATCGAAAACTCCGGAAGGTTCCATCAGAAATTTTTTTAGTGTAAGATTTACTGTTTGGTCTTTGGAAGGAAGCATAATCATGCAAACAGTATGTTTGGAAGCAGGTTTAATTATGCAAACATGATTTTTGGAAAAAAAAAAAAAATTAATCACCTACCTGCTCCCTTACTCCCTCGATCTCATCTGCTCTTTTATGTTTGGAAGCAGGTTTAATTATGCAAACATGATTTTTGGAAGAAAAAAAAATTAATCACTTACCCGCTCCCTTACTCCCTCGATCTCATCTGCTCTTTTATCAACCTAACCCTCAACCCTTCTAATTACTCAACACACACCAAGTCTCTGTAGCGGGGAAGGTTGTGCTGCTCTTGGAGTGCATGTTGCTGTTGGAATATAATTATGATGACATGGTTTCTACAGTATGTATAATCATGTGTGAAAGTACACCATAACAATATTGGTGTATTGTTATGGTTTACCAATATACGTTTGATTCTAGTTAAATTATATTTTTAATTAGTTCATTCTAAGGGATATGATTATTTGATATAACTGAATAGTGGCATTCAATGGAGAGAAGTTACCACTCCTCCAAAAATGGTACTTCATATTTATATATTCACCAAATTCTTTTTTTGTCAGAGCATTCAATTTCAATGTATAAATGTTCTCACTCTCTTATTCATATCCTCATATCATATTGTGATCGATCAGTCTCGCAATCTTGTTCACTACCCTATTTCCATCATTGGCCTCAAAGCTAGTTTTTTCGTGAATCGTAACAATTCGCCCAATTTTCCAAGAATGTCTCATAGTACATTTGAGACTTCCTCTTCGTCAAGTGACGAATCCAACAACGCTATTACTGATTTTTACCTTGAAAAGAAATTAGGGTGGATAAGGAGAATATTGAACCAACATTTTGATCAAAAGTTTGGAGTCGGAATCTGAGAACTTTCCTGCATAACCCAAAACTATCGCGAACACCAAATTGTTCAAACATTACAGACTATTTGAAATCTCATCCTACAATCCGTGTAAACTCAGGCTGAATTAACCCATTTTGAAACTTGTTCCCTCATTTGCACTGGTTCAATTGCCAGAGAATAAAGGACTGTCTAAAATTTGCGCCAATTCATCGTTCCAATTCGTCCTGAGTCGCTGCCTAAATTCAATTTTCAAAATAAAAAAAGTAGGGTTAATCTCTGTTTACTACCCTCATGTTTCGTGGTTTTCAACATTTAGTACATCAATTTTTTTTCGTCCCAGAGTCATACCTAAAGTGTAAATTTTGGAACAGTCTCATACATCCGTTAGTCAAACCGTTAAGTCTCCAGTTAACTGATGATGTGGCGCCCATTTGGACAATGACTGGGCGCCACATGGAAATTAAAAATTAATTAATTATAAATAATAAATAAAAAATAAAAACCCTAAAAGCTTCCTCATATTCTACCTCCCCCATTTCTTTACTCTGCAACGCCCACACCCCCCCCCCGACGCACCCTCTCCCTTCCTCATCCCCTCGCACCCTCCCCCTCCCTATCCCCTCGCACCCTCCCCCTCCCTATCCCCTCGCACCCTCCCCTCCCTTCTCTATTCTGCAACCCACACCCTTTCCCTTCCTTCTCTCTTCCATCCTCTTCTGTAATCCGTTCGCCCAAGTCTCCCTCCCGCCGTTGTGACTTCGGTTCCCCCTTTTCTTTCCCCAATTCCAGAAGTGGTTCTATTTGTTCCTGATCAAATATTTGAAATTCTCAACAGGGTTTGGTTTTCGATCTCCATCTTTTTTTTCCCTTCTTCTTATTCTTTTTCTTTTTCTGGGTTGGGGTGTAAAAGGACGAACTGGGTTTGGTTTTTTAAGGACGAACTGAGTTTTGTTTTTTTTCCTTCTTCTTCTACTTCTTCTGGGTTTGGGGGGGGGGGGGACGAACTGGGTTTGTGTTTTGTTTTTTTCCTTCTTCTTCTTCTGGGTTGGGTGCGGGACTGGGTATTTTTTTTTTCCTTCTTCTTCTTCTTCTGGGTTGGGGGTGACGGCTCAGCATAAGAAGTGGGGATTGGAAGTCAGTGAGCAAAAGTTGGGGATTGGATGTCGGCCTTCCTAAATACGAAGCGAAAGCTTGACTGACTTAGTGAAACGTTTGGTGCAGTGTCGAACTAAGAAGTAAGATAACGAAAATCAGTAAAAATGGACTTGAACAATCACAAAAAAGGAATTCTATACACCAATATGGTATATTAACTAACCCACAATCAAATCCTAAATTGCAAAATACCCATTATTTATATAATAGACACTATACAGTTTGGTTGGAGAAAATGACTATACCTATGTATGTATCGGTCATATCGAAACCTAAATATATTCTTCATATTGTACACAAACACAACAAATAATATGATTATGTTAATTGAATGCCAGCATAAGTATGTATCGACCAGATCAGAATTACGAATTAGCTCTTACCAAAAAACCAACATAAGTATGTTATCAGAAAAAATCCTTGAAAGATCTATTTCAACATCAAAATCAATGAATTCACACAAACTTTTATGCTTCAAAGATTCATATCAGCATCATATCAGGAAAAAAAACCTTCAAATATCAAAGAAATGAATGACAAGATGGAAATTTCCCAAATCTGAAGGAAATTCATCGAAATTCAACACGAAAAAACGGAAACAGAAGATATTCCTAAAATCCAACCCCAATCAGAGTTGTAAATTTCAAATGAAGCAAATATAAATTACACAAACTAAGATGACAATCCAATCCACTAACCCAACAAATGAAAATTAAGAAATCAATATTATGTAGAAAAAAGGTATTTAGAGTTCAAACACCTCTAAGTTCGTTAAGCATCTCTACCCAACTACAATTCAACAGAGATCGACATGAAAGACTAGAAAATCCAAATGAAATTAGAAATTAGAAAGCTAGGGCACCCAAATCCAACGTAGACTTGTTTGTCTTCTTTTCCTTATGCTGTTGGGACTCTGATTTCACGACGCATCAAAAAGCACCAAACGAAGACCATTGCTAGCGATACAGGTCCGTCGTTGATTGTTTATATGTTGGATGGCTACAAGGTGATGCGACAAGTAAGGAGAAGGGAAAAGGCGAAGGTGTGAAGGGGACGGCGGAGCAAGCTGCAGTTGCTACAGTTGATGTGTGAAGGTGCGAAAGAGAAGGGAGATGACGGGATTAGAGGGCGGCTTAACTGTCCTATCCGAATCGGGAGACCTGTTAGTGAAGGATTCAGTCGAGGCGAGTCCTTGCTAATCCCACTAAACTTAGTCTGGGTAAGGAACAAGCACAAAACTGGACTAAAACTTAGTCCAGTCTAATCTAGTAAAAGACGGTGAGTCCAAACCATGGTCTAAAATATCAATATTATTCCGATATTTCCATCGAAATTTCCATGTTTTTGGACTATCGATATTTCCGATATCATCGATATTTTAGACCTTGATAGGAACTCTATGTGGTACTAAGTCACTCATGTATCTTACCATGCAATGTATAAAATGTAAAATATTGTACTAATTCATTATATATAAATGATTATGGTGTGTTTAAACTTCTTTCATTAATTACTACATATTTTCTACACTCACAATGTTTGCCAGCTCGCTATATAATCAACTTAAATCAGTTAAATCCATCATGCAATGCATTTCCTTTCAATTTTTTGTGATAAATTAATAGATAATTAACTAAATAAACATCCTGCAAAGTTTCAATACAAAATTTCAAGTTTTTCTTACAATTTCCGTGGTTTTTATTCAATTTTTATCGATATCGATAATATCCCGATATTTCTATTGAAATTTTCATGTTTTTGGACTACTAATATTTTCGATATCATCAATATTTTAGACCTTGGTCCAAACAAACACCCTACGTGTCATGATGCAAAAATTACATAAGGAAAATATCATAAATAAAATTTAATTTTTGATTTTTTTGGGTCCCCGTTGGGGGAAAATATGAGGTATGCAAAAAAACCACCTGCTTTTTAAAGTTTGAAACTTTGGCGAGAAAAAGGAATTCAAAATTGAAATCCTGAACTCTCATTATTCATAGCAGCCAGTAAGTGGGGAGAATTGGTTCGACTTCCACCGCCCGAATCGCCGCTCTCCGGTTCGCGCTTTTGTTATCTCAGGTTAGCTCGTTGGTTCCGACGTCTTGCTTTTTATCTGGGTTTGCACCGATACCGCGTAAAGTTCACTCCCTGTTTGGTTGCTGAGAAAATGAAAGAAAATGATGAATTTTCGGGCAAGGGTTTCTGTAATTAGGGTTATATTAGCTTGACTGATGGAATTTCTTGAGTTAATGCGGAAAGTTTCCAAATTTTTAACTCAATTCAATCAATTTTCCTGTTACCAATCGGTGATTTGATATATTTGTTGTGTTTTGTTTTAATGTATCAGTGATTAGTGCCTTTTTTCTGTATAATTTTGGTTTTTCAGGTTTAGCTAATTGGCAAACTCACACATGCATTTCTGTTGGGAAAATTAAAGAAAATAAGAGGAAAATGTCACTTCTGAGTAGATTCTTTTACAAAAGACCCCCAGATGGGTTGCTCGAATTCGTAGAGAGAGTATACGGTAACATTCTTTTTTCGTTCTTTAATCTTGTGTTGCTATTATTTCTATGGCATTGTGTGTGACTTGGCTGAATTCGGTATTTTTCTTTTCATGAAAATATGTGCAGTATTTGATTCCTGTTTTTCCACTGAAGTCTTGCCTGATGAAATGTACCAAATATATCTACATGAAATCATTACTGAGTTACATGAAGAATTCCCCGACTCGTCCTTCCTTGCATTCAACTTTCGGGAGGGTGAGAAACGTAGCCAATTTGCTGAGATATTATGCGAATATGATGTTACAGTTATGGATTATCCGCGACAGTACGAGGGTTGTCCACTCCTTCCATTATCTCTTATTCAACATTTTCTTCGTGTTTGTGAGAGTTGGCTCTTGAATGACAAGCAACAAAATGTTATTCTTCTCCATTGTGAGAGGGGAGGTTGGCCACTCTTGGCTTTCCTTTTAGCTAGCTTTCTCATTTTCAGAAAACTGCATAGTGGGGAACGCAAGACGCTTGAAATTGTACATCGAGAAGCTCCTAAAGGTTTATTGCAGCTTTTGTCGCCTTTAAATCCTCTCCCATCTCAGCTGCGGTACCTTCAGTACGTGGCAAGGAGAAATATAGCTCCAGAGTGGCCACCTCCTGAGCGGGCACTTTCTTTAGACTGTGTTATACTTAGAGCCATTCCAAACTTTGATACCCAAAAAGGCTGCACTCCAGTTATCAGAATTTTTGGTCGGAATCTCCTTAGTAAGGGCGGGCTTTCAACCCAGATGATATTCTCCATGCCTAGGAAGAAGACACTTCGGAACTACCGTCAAGTAAGATTTGTACTGTAACTACTGTTCTCAGCATAATCCCACTTGATTTTTGTTACTCTACATTTTCGCATTAGTCAATACTCCTTATAAGTTATATCAACTACTTCTGTTATGAGTGTTCCTTCTTTGCAGGCAGACTGTGATGTCATCAAAATTGACATTCAGTGTTTAGTGCAAGGAGATGTTGTATTGGAGTGTGTCCACTTGGATTTGGATCCAGAGAGGGAAGTTATGATGTTCCGTATTATGTTCAACACTGCATTTATTCGTTCCAACATACTGATGCTGAATTCTGATAACTTGGACATTCTATGGGATGCAAAGGAGCGCTATCCAAAGGGCTTCCGAGCTGAGGTGACCATTATTGAGTCCTTTGTTTTAGCTTATTAGAAATAAGATTAAATGTGCCTGAGACATTAGGTTTGTCAAGAAACTAAGTGCACTTCATTTTAGTTTTCTCTCTAAGTTACAAGTAGTGGCTGATGCTTTGGTCTGACTTGAGGGTGCTAGACTTGTACTCGTATTTGCTAGACAAATGCTTTGTTGCCAGACTGTGAATCTGGATGAAACATTATAGCAACAATCATCCTAATCAATGGTCTAGATAATTAGAATGGCAAGAAAACATTACTCCTTATTTTTATGTATGTATACTCATATCAGTTATCCTTCCATCTGACCATAAATGAACTCATCTATTCAGGTATTGTTTGGGGAGTTTGAGAGCATTTCTCCTCCGAGAGCTCCAACTACAACTTTGAATGGTGAGGAGAAAGGTGGATTGCCCCATGATACTTTTTCTAGGGTTCAAGAACTTTTCAATGGAGTTGAGTGGATTGATAGCAATGATGATGCGGCCTTGTGGTTTCTTAAACAGCTCTCTGTCCTAAGTGATGCGAAAGAATTGTCAAGGTTTCAAAACAAAATGAGTTTATATTCATCACCTGCTGACTCTGAAGAAGAAAATAATGCATCTAGCACTGCTGACAGTGCTGATGAAGCATTTGACACTGTTTCCAAGGCTTCAGCAGATTCAACAAAAGCATTGATGCTGGACAGTTTTGATTCTGCCCCCTTATCATATGAGAATGATGGCCCACCTGATGCGAACTTTACTTCAGAGCCTCCTGATCAAGAATCATTTGGACCCGTCCTGGATTCTCTTCATCAGCAATCATTAGATACAAGTAAAGGACCTCCACCTTGTTCATTCCCTGAATCATTGGCACCAAAATCCCTATCAACAGAACCATTATGTCTTGCTCTTCACACTCTACCATCACCTCCACCGCCACCACCGCCTCCACCGCCACCACTTCCTTTTATTGGTGTTAGTAGAGGGTCTTCACCATCCCCACCACTTCCACCCCTTAGCATATCCAGTAAAGATTCTGTGAACCGCTTACATTTGGCTACTACAAGAAGTCCACCACCGCCGCCACCACCACCACCCCTTGTTCCATCTCATTTTGTCTCTAGCAAAAGCCCACTGCCACCTCCTCCCCCACCTCCACCAACTTCTTCTACAGTGCCACCGCCGACCCCACCGACTCCTCCCTTTAAGTCTAGTCAGCAGTCTTTGCCGTCACCACCACCACCACCTCCACCACCTCCACCTCCTCCGTTTTTGGGAAGTACAACTAACAAGCTACCGCCACCCCCGCCTCCCCCTCCTCCTCCACTGTCCACTTCTAGTTCTGTTTTTAGAGCACCTCCAGCTCCATCACCTTCTCCTATGAGTGGTAGCCTTAGTACTAATAATAGGGCACCACCCCCGCCTCCTCCTCCTCCACCATCCACTTCTAGCTCTGTTTTTGGAGCACCGCCAGCTCCACCACCTCCTCCTATGAGTGGTAGCCTTGGTACTAATAGTAGGGCACCGCCCCCGCCTCCTCCTCCTCCACCGTCCATTTCTAGTTCTGGGGTTGGAGCACCCCCACCTCCACCTCCTCCTCCTATGAGTGGTAGTGTTGGTAATTATACTAGGTCACCACCCCCACCTCCACCTCCTTCAGGACCTACAAGGCCAACCCCACCTCCTCCACCACCAGCACCAATGCCACCAAGTCGCGGTGCAACAACATCTGTGCCTCCACCACCTGGAGCAAAGGGCTCTAGTGCACCACCACCACCGCCACCATCAGTTGGAAGGGGCAAAGCGTCTTCTGGGCTGGGGATTGTTGGAAAAGGCCGTGCTACTTCTATTGCCCCAAAGAAAACTTCCTTAAAGCCCTTACACTGGGTGAAAGTTAATCGAGCAATGAAAGAGAGTTTATGGGAGGATTTTCAGAAACAAGGCAATCAGCCAAGGTGCATTCTTATAGAAATTGTTCTAGACGATTAACTTTCACTGAATGAAAAAGATCACTAGCACTAAGAAAAGTCACTTTAGTTAAATGAATGGTTTTGCAGGAACATGATATTTATTGTGATGAATTAAGTGGAGTCATTGTAAAGTGTCCCAGTATTGTTCGTTTTATTTCACATGTGGTGCTAATTTGACTTGTGTTGGTTTTTGCTTCTGTGTATGTTCTTTCTCCTCGTGGCTTTCTTTCTCTATTTTTGCCCAATTTGTTTTCTCCGTTTTGTCTTCTGATGTAACATTATGGAAGTGCTTCTCAGGGCTCCTGAAATAGATATATCAGAACTTGAAAGTCTGTTCTCAGCAGCCGCTGCTTCAGATGTGCATGGCAGTAAGACTGCTGGTCGACGTGGTCCTAACATTACCAAACCTGAGAAAGTGCAACTGGTTAGCTCTCTTTCTTTGTCCATGTAGTAGGTTATGGTCTCCTTTAGAATGTTACCGTGCTCAATGCTTTGTCATTGGCATGCATAATTATAATTTGTTTCAGTGACATGTATGTATGTGGTAAATTGATAAATTGATTTGTGATTATAATTAGTTTCAGTGATATATATGTACTTGGTAACAGCACCAAGTTATAGGAGGATAGGGAAACGGGATCTTCTAGTTTTTCATTTGAACGCACATTTTCTGTATGCCAATTTTTCAATCATATGTAAGCACCGAAGTAGTGGGAGGATGGGGTGCTGTAGGCATTTATTTGCATACTAAAACTTGCCTAAGCAATGGGAGTTGATAACCTAAGCTAAGATCAAGTGTTACTTGTTTTCGTTTGTTGATTTGAAAAACCTAGTAAAAGATAGAGTTCTTCAAATTATGATTCCTGATTCAACACTTATAAGTTTGCAAAGCTGAAACTTGTGTAGACTTTGAGAAAAGATGAATATAATGCTCCATAGGGTCCTTATGCTTTATGGTTTATCTAGACATAAAGATGTATGAGACTAAGTTTGTTGCTTTGTCTCTCTCTTTTGTTTACTCTTGAGCAAACCAATGCTTTCAATAGAGATGTATGAGACCAACTTTGTGCAGATTTTGAGTAAACTTATGCTTTATGCTCCATGGAGATATATGAAACTAAATTTATTGCTATGTTTCTCTCTATTTATCAGATTGACTTGCGACGAGCGTATAACTGTGAAATTATGCTTTCAAAAGTAAAGATCCCCTTGCCAGATATGATTGTAAGTTCTTCCTCCTACTCATGTACATTTCATATATATCACCAGAAAAACCTGTTTCCCTCTGGTTTTGTGGGCCTCCTTTATCATGCCTTGGGGGAATGTGGATAGACAAATAAACTCTCTAGGTCTAGTCTTTTTGTTTACTCTTGAGCACATCAATGCTTTAGCATTGATGTCCTCATGTCTGGTGACATTTCTCTCATTCAGGTGTGGAAACCATTCTGTTGTTCTGATGTAATATGACATTTTATAATTGGATTGATGATAGAATTCTGGACCTGTAACTGTAGAATCAAGCTACAATTGCTATATTGTAGATTGTAAGACAATCAATTGTCATGCGTCTTACATAACCAGAAGGCACAAGTATTGTTGTTTAAACTAGTTTTGCATATCCGATTAGCAAGTGCATCGTAAAAGCGAGGCTAGAAATATCATGCTTGGATGGAATATCAACGTGCATAGTCCGTGCTTTACCATCTTTAACCAGAGTCTTTGCAGAGTCAGACTTCACAAACACCTCCTGGGACTACAGTCACCAGCATGACCAGCCCCACTTCGTCCTTTATTATCACCATAACAACGTTGAGTAGATCTGCCAGAAACTGTATGACCTTGTATGACAGTCGTAGGGCATTCTGTTATATCCTTCCTCAAATATTATGTAGCTGTACTTGTTTTCTTTCATTACTAAAAAAAGGGCAACCCCAAGCAACAAAGCTCCCCACTTTGCGACGGTTTTGTGGGGTTTTTTTTTTTTGGGGGGGGGGGGGGGGGGGGGGGGGGAAGAAACATCTATCGACGCAGCCTTACCCTTGCTTTGCAAAGAGGTTGTTTCCACGGCTTGAACCGATGACCTTACAAAGGAGCAACCTTTCCGTTGCGCCAAAGCTTGCCCTCTGTTTTCTTTCGTTATTATCTTCTAAAAAAAGAATAAAATGAAAAAAAGTAAACTTTGGCAATTTTGGCAGTGGTTAGTACATAGATGCTATTTGTTTATTGGAGTATGGTGCTGAAACTAGATACGTGTGCTTCCAGAATGCAGTTCTAGCTCTGGATTCTTCTGTTCTTGACATTGATCAGGTTGAGAATCTCATTAAATTTTGTCCTACCAAAGAAGAAATGGAAACTTTGAAGGTAAGTCACTCTTCTTCACAAAAATGTATGCTTCCACATGTTGGTCACGTGCATGTCTTTTTGATAGATCTTACTGTTATTCTTGCTCCATGTAACTTGATCCTTATCATGCTTTGTTCATATTTTAAATGAACTAATAATTTTTCCCTTTCTCATAAAGGTATGCAGTAACTTGGTGTTCTGGATAATGGGCACCGGTGTCTTTCATTTTCTGTGATTTTTTAGATTGGGGACCTGCTGTAGGATATTTTTTAGAGTTTATTTTGAGGGTTGAATCATTTTGTTTGTGGACGTCTAGTTCACTAAGTTTCGTATCACTATTTTAGCTGTTAAATAGAATTTTCTTTTCTCAGAAAAAATAATAATAGAAATTAAAAAAGAAAAAAGAAAAAAAAAGGATTGCAGTCTCATGGCAGATAATTTTTCTTCTTCTTGATGTTCTAATTAGTAATGCATACAAGATTAATTGATTAATTTTGTTTCTAAGAAGAATCAAGAGTTACGCCCAAATTATATACTTTTTGTTTTTTCTGGAGGTTGTCTAGTTTAGAGGGTTAATTCTTTAAGAGTGCTGATTTTGCTTTTTTTGACTCCCAGAACTATGCAGGCGACAAGGAAATGCTGGGGAAGTGTGAACAGGTTCTTTCTGATGCCGTCATCTTAGATGTATGTGTGCTCTCTCGGATTTCCTACTAACAGTGTGTTTATCTTCAGTTTTTCGTAGAGCTAATGAAGGTTCCACGAGTAGAATCCAAGTTACGAGTATTTGCTTTCAAAATTACCTTTTCTAGTCAGGTAAGTTCTAGCTTGTTTTCTTTATTTGATTTTTCGTGGTACAAGCTTAACAGCATTTTGGTGCTTGAATTTAATCAGGTGAATGATTTAAGATCTAATCTGAATACAATCAATGGTGCTGCTAATGAGGTATCATGATAATTAATGGTTATTAAACTAGTGTATATGAGCATATTTTTACGCTCATCTAAAGCCACTTGTATGTACAGGTGAAGGAATCTGTGAAATTGCGACAGATAATGCAGACAATCCTTACTTTGGGAAATGCCTTGAATCAAGGCACTGCTCGAGGTACCACCGTCTAATGCTTGTTTTATTTATTCTTATGATTTATTTTGCCGTTTTATTTCTTGGTATTAATATTATTACCATTATGTTTTTTAGCCTACAATTTGTTTTTTATTTTGCAGGATCTGCTGTAGGATTCAAATTGGACAGCCTTCTTAAATTGTCTGATACCCGTGCAAGAAACAATAAAATGACTTTAATGCATTATTTGTGTAAGGTATAATATTTGAAATTTAAACCTTACTCTTAAAAACTAAAAAGAAAAAGAAAGACAATAATGCTAGGACTGACTGTTACTTCTTTTATGAGATCCTCACATATAAATAAAAGGGTGTTATATAGATAGATACTAAAATATCACCTGAACTCTTTTGTGGTCTTTCCTTAAACATCAACTTGTGTCAGTGTTATTTATTGTTTCTTAAGTTTGTTCCATCTACAACATTGTCAAAGTTGTTGATGTGAATATCCATCTGCACAAATGTCTTTCTTTATCTTTCACATTCTGTAGTTGGTGTTAGTTTTAGGATATTTATGTAGTCTTAATCAACTTTTTTCTCCATTAGCTCCTTGCTGAGAAAATGCCAGAGTTGCTGGATTTTGATAAAGATCTGATTCATTTAGAAGCTGCTTCTAAGGTAAGCTGATTATGTTGCTAGAATTGGTTCTTTCTGATGGTACTGTAACTTGTGTTCGTAACTAATTCAGAGCTCATTCAATTTGATCATAATGTCAAATAACCAGATTCAATTGAAAGCTTTGGCTGAAGAAATGCAAGCTGTGAGTAAAGGTCTGGAAAAGGTTGAGCAAGAACTTGCTGCTTCAGAAAACGATGGAGCAATCTCTGCTGGTTTCCAAAAAGTGAGAAATACTGATGATATTTGGTTCCTTAACTAAACGATATATACTACTTTCCACTTATAAGGATAACATTAATTAATTAATTGCTGTTTGCAATTTCCTCTTGAAAACTAGTCACACTTCTTAAATGTTTCGGTTATATCATATTTTTGTGTTTGAAACTTTGAAGTGAAAAAAGAATGTCGTGAGACAAAATGTTTCACAATCTACAAAAGATGTTCTGTTGGTAGATGTTATAATCTGAGCACACAGTAGTGATGTAGAGGTCCTAAATAGTTTGGGCCCGAGCATTATCCTTATGCGTAGGAGGGATCTTATTGATTTTCCTTTAAGACCTCTTTCTGGTGCTTGAAAATGCATGTTCTACAAAGTACTATTAGCAAACATAATGAATTTCTTTATGCCCATGCTTTTTCATTCACGACTGCTTCTTTGAAGATATATATTTTTTAATTAGTATATTTTGCAGATAAAGAAACATGGGTGATGATTAAGATGTGGTTCTGCATTTACATAAAAAAAAAAAAAACTTCCTCCTCTGCAGGTGCTGAAGAATTTTCTTGATACTGCTGAAGCTGATGTAAGGTCGTTAATCTCCTTGTACTCTGAAGTGGTGAGTGCAGTCCATATCACAGTTTTTATCTTGTTGGTAGATATCTTTGTAGTTTGTACTGTGTAGCTTACAGGTCTAATGGCTTAATTCTTCTTCTTGCAGGGAAGAAATGCAGATTCTTTGTCTCAATACTTCGGGGAGGATCCAGCTCGGTGTCCTTTTGAACAAGGTCTGCTACTTTATTTACCTCATGAATACACCACAGAGTCTCCATTTTGTTAGAGGAGGCCATGTGTTCAAATCTTATGGACAACGATTTTTGAATGAAAGAATTAGAAAAAAAAACTTATGTGCATTCTTGAATCTTGAATTGTGGACAAAGAGGTCATTATTGGCCCACCTCAACTTATGGGAATTCGTCTCACTTTTCTTAACCTATTATTTGGAAAAGCTGAAAGCCCGTTGAGACTAGAGTGACTAGGGATCAAGTTCTTGAAAACCCCACTCTTCTTTTTTCTTCTTTTTTTTTTCTATCGTAATTTGACATGTCCAACCTGTTAAAGACTTATCTTCCATTTGTATGAACCTAGTCTTTCTGCAGTAGTTTACAAAATAATTAGATAATTATAGAAGGCTAGAAAATGAGTTTGGTACAACAAGAAACTTTATTCGTTTGCTTCCATGTGTTTTATTTCTCTAGATGGAATATAAATGCCAATTATGTGTGAGGTAGCCTATGAGACGGTAATGAAAGAGTGAGACCAAAGTTGAAAAAGTTTCCCATTTGTATGATTGGAGTCTTCACAGACTAATTTAGTTACTTCACATCTTATTTTTATGTTTCTTGGTTTCAGCTAGCTTTTCAATTATTTTCTTGCTCCCAATTTTACTGCTATGATTCTGTCACTTATTCTCTTAACATCTAGAAACTGTTCTCTTGAATCTTTATCTACGATTATCCGTACTTCATATGTTTTTGTCCTCTCATATATCAAAGCCTAACCTTCATAGTGGGCCGAAAATTTTGAGTGATGCCCATAAATTGGAATCAAACTTACATGCTGGGCCGGTAAATTCTTATGGGGGGAGTTCAATTGTTGAGTGTAACATATGGGTCTCATGAGTTTGATTTCTATATATGCGAATCAAACTCACATAAACCATGTGGAAGACCTTATAAGTATTTCAATTTCCGTAAATTTTTGTTCCACCTCTTTACTTTTTCTTTTCCTAGTACAAACTTAAATATTCAAGGCGAAGCAAATTACAGATATACTGGTGATAATTCTTTATTTTTATTTTTATTGTTGATTTATGTTTTAACTATTTAATTTTCATGTAGAATCAAATAACATTTTGATGTATGGTATATAACGTTTCTTGCCCTTGCAGTGACACATGTCTTGTTCGTTTTCGTCAAGATGTTCAAAAAGTCACGAGAGGAAAATGAAAGACTTGCTGAGGCCGAAAAAAAGAAGCTTGAAAGGGAAGCCATTAAAGACCGGACAGTAACCAATTCATCTGCAAGGAAAGATGATGTTAAATAGAGCACCATGAAATCTACATCATACAGTTGATGTTTTGGTGGGTCATTTGTTGCCAGAAACTGGTGGTCGATTTAAGAATCATTTTCTACTTCACGCCCTAGTTCGACCAAGTTAACGCAAAGTACCCTGCTTCGAACTCAAAACCTTAAGCCCGCAATTCTTTTTGAGGCAGGTTTTACTTTCTCAGAAGCTGCCGTACAGGTCAAGATCTGTCTACCCTTAAGCTCTGTTTTTGAAGAAACTGGAAACTCGACGGCAACTTGACATTTTCTTGTTCAGGTACATCCTCTTCAGAGGGATAAATTATGCGTATGGTTAAATACAACTTGCTCAATTGTATTCGAGCTGTAAATATTATAACTAGATATGCTAGATGCTAGCACTGTAATCTTTTCGTCACTAATGTCGAAAGGTTTTGTACCATCTCATCGGAAAGGGTTACGTTTTGTGAATATTTCTTTTTGGCTTTGGATGATATTTGATGAATTATCCATCAAACATCTTGAGTCACATGAGCAAAAGCTACTGAGCTATTTCATATCTTAGATTTGATCACTTGGGCAACATGTTTTGGTTTGAACTCTACTCAAGAATTGTTGAAGACCATACGATATATTAACACTAAGAGGTTATAGGGCACTTGGAGTTGGACTATACAATGACCCAACTATAGTAGAGTTTGGTTTGTAGTTTTGAACTCGTCATCGACGCGAATCGAACTTAAGCAGCATGTAATTCAAAGACCCCAGTATCAACATTTTCTCCATTAAACTCTCTATTAGATAGGAAGAATTGGAATTTTGGATCAAAGATGCATTTTTTCAACGATATATAGTTACACTAAAGAGGTTAGGGATCATAATAAGCCACACAACGGATCTGATATAATAATTTGGTTTGAACTCTTCAACCAAAATCGAAACTTATCGCTGAGCTGGAACAACGGTAGATCAATCATGTGGTGTTGATCGTGACTGTAATTCCTGGTAGGTGGCTTTTAGCTGTGTCCTACATAGACCTGTAAACGGGTCGGGTTTATTGGGTTTGGGTCGGGTTCAACCCGACCCGTTAAGTTAACGGGTCACCCGAACCCAACCCGTTAAGCTAACGGGTCACCCGTTTCACCCGTTAACAATTATTATTATTATTATTTTTGCATAAAGTTTATTTTTTGTTATTAAGACCTTACTAAAATTACTAAAATATCCTCAACTAACGGTTGCTAACGGGTCCTAACGGGTCTAACGGGTCTAACGGGTTGACCCAAAGTGACCCGTTATTTAACGGGTTGTTAACGGGTTCACCCGTTAGCGACCCGACCCGTTAAGCATCCACCCAAATACAAATATTAACGGGTTGGGTCCAAAATGCCAGGCCTAGTCCTACACTCTGTTAAAGAAAGAGTGAGTAGCTGTTATCCTCGACCACTTCCCGGTTGAATTGGGCTGCCATTCTTCTCGTTCTTTTTACGTGTAAAAAGATTCTACGTATAGTAAGTTACACTTCAATCATCCTATCAAATGCAAATATGTTGAGAACACAGAGACATTAAGTAGCGTGTGATTACACGTCAGGAAACGATATTTGTACACCCTTTTTCACCTCCTGCACAACCCTCTCTTTTCTGAGCCATTCGATTGAAACAAATCAAAGAAAATTAAGGGCCATGATTAAGAGGGGTGTGCAACCCAATTCTCAGTTTCTCATGGTTGTTCCACAGCAGAAAGAGAGTGGCTTCCTTGCTCCAATGCTTCTTTCTTTTTAGCCTTCTCCTTCTCAAGCAAGTAAATCTTCTCCGATTCCGGTATGGCCAACATGATTGTGTGCAGCTTCAGATTCATTTCTTCAACCTTCTCCATGAGCCTGTCATTTGTAAACATTCCCAGAATTACGCTCTGGATTGTTTCCCAGCTTTCTATTACCGGTAAAGCGATGATTGCAACTGAACCGATTGTGCCCCATGCTATTGCAATGACCGCCCAGAATGTGAAGTACCCTATACCGAAATCACCTGCATTGCATTCACAACCCAAACATGAGATAAGCAACAAGAAAGGTTCATCTTCCTACCGACGTTTGAGTTCGCTAAGTTGCTGGATTTACCTGCTGGAAGAGAGAGAAGGGGCCACAGTAAAACGATCACAACAGTAAAGCCAACACCCCATTTCACTATCCATGCCTTTGCTCTCTGTAATTTTTCTTCCTTGTACTCTTCTGCCGGAAGATCACTCGTTGCCTTCTCAACCACGGTGATCTTCTTAGTGGTACCCCAGTCGTAGTTTTGTGGTGACAAGAAGCTGCAGATAGCATGTATGGCTCCACCACTAAGTATAGAGACGAGGTTTCCTGCAAGCATTGGTGCATTTCGACCTGTTGTGTCCAGATTTATGCGGCCATACTCAATTTTCGTGACCGATAGCCATGTGATGATCCCAAGAACGCAGCCAACAGTTGCTCCTAGGATTGCACCGATTGCGTTTGCCTTTCTCCATAGAAGCATGAACGCGATGGGAATAACTGCTGAACCGATGAGCACTCCCATTGCCAGATACATCCAACCTAATGAAACTCCAGCTTTATTCAGTATCACTGCTAGCAGCCCCATAAAACAACCGAAAGCAAGGATCACACCCCTTGATACCTTGAGGATTTTCTTTCCGTCTGCATTTGGATCTACGTACGTGCGGTAGATATCATAAGTGCATAATGAGGATACTGCTATAAGCTCTGATGAACCAGCAGAAGTCACTGCCCTGCTAAATATATAACAAAGTTGAATGATCGAAAAGCACGTTATATGTTGTTTTGCACCAAAACATATAGGCAAGAACTTACATGAAAAGCATAGTAAGAAGAAGAACAGATCCTCCTTTTCCCATCAAAGCTATAGCGGTGGCAGGAGGAACAAGTCCCCGACTTGCTTCACTTTCGGTTAGTGGTAGATCAAGGGCCAGTGCTCCCAGTCCCAATGATGTCGCCAAAGAAAATGGGACTGCAAACCAAACAAGCCCACCTAACAAGTAGCCCTTGTGAGTTGACGAAGGCCGTGCAGCTATGGCGCTTACCCAGTATCCCTGAAGTTTTCAATGTTAATTTGTCAAATGTGACAAATAAAGTTCTGAATTGAAACATATAAAAGATGTCCGCTAATAAGTTGCAATTCTAATCTTTTGATCATCTTACATTATCAACAAAAACAGTGCCAAAGTTTCCGACGATGTTGATAATCCCAAAGACTAGTCCTCCAGAACTCAACATTGTTAGGTACGACCCTTTGTAATTCCCACTCGCAGGACCACAAGACTGGCCGTGATGAGAAATTGGCTCCTTACAAATCCTTGATTTACTCGCTACCTCTACAAGGCGGTTGTACACGATGCTAGGGCTACCAAGCTCACTGCTTGCCGTATACACAAGGTATACAAATATGACTAGTACCACGTGAACTGAAACCAAATACACGAAGAACAAAATGTATCGTAGGCTGACATGAAAGGACGAAAACATAATAAATAACATCAAGGGAAAATGTGAAAGAAATTCAAGTGACTACCAATAACAGAATGGATGTAGCTTGCCAAGAACGTCGCTTTTAGTCCTCCAGCTAATGTGTAGACGATTACTCCAAGAGGGATAAGGAAGCTAGCAGCATAAATGTTTACTCCTGTAAGTGCATTTACGACAGCAGAACCTCCGAGCAGCAGCATTGCAGTTACAATAATATTTGTCAAAAAGCAGAAACTGAGGAAGACAATGTGTGCCGCTGTGCCCCAGCTGAAGAAGAGGAACATTATTCAATATATTAGTAAACTATGAGCTTTAGGAAACCAATCATAGTAAAGGATGGAACTCAATGAATCATATAATTTAGTTTATTGAACTATACACATACCGAGCTTTCACGATTTCACATACAGTGTGAGCATGAGGAGCCTTTCTCTTGATCTCTATGGCTATTATACCAAACAAGAGTACCTATGTTTAGAAACGTTAAATTATTAATCTGGCATGCCTTAGTTTTCCGTGATATAATTAGACTGTAAGTACTGTAGCAAGCAATTGACAGAAAGGAAACAGATTCGACATGCCTGTATAGTAGCGCCGCTAGCATACCAGAAAGGTCCACTTACTCCATACTCCCAAGCAACATTTGAACTTTGCAAGATTGTAGCAGCCCAAGTCCACTGTACAAGTTTTCGCAAAGGAGAGCAACGAGTTCATCAAAGTTGCCTCTAAACACAGAATTTTCCCCTAAGAATTTGTGAACGGTTGCATCTGATTCTAGTTAGGGACTGTACTGTACCTGGGAGACAATCACACTGGCAATGAGTCCTGTTTTAACACTTCTTCCTGCAGTGTTGAACCATTCGGATGTGTGCTTGGAACCAACATATCGCTTCTCCAGCCATACCTGACCGAAAGATAAACATACAATCAGCAATTGTTGATACAAACAATTAAGCAATTAACCGTCTAGTTATCTAGTTCCTTACAAAATACAAATATATAATGCTTTCTCATTCTTCCCCTTGAACAGAACCACAACAAACTAGTGTCGGCATTGGAGCAACGCATCTGGAAATATATCAAGCATTTACTTGCAATCTGGAACTGCGATAACAAATTCTTTCAATCGCCTTTGTACATCTCTTCAGATTGCAGTCATTGCCAATTTGCCAAATTTATAAGTAAACAAGGTAAAAGTTCTTGCACTAATTAACACCAGAAATGCAAATATTCGTGCTCTAATTAAGCTCATATTTGGGGTGCTTCAAAACGGGATTACTAGATTAATCTAAGAACTGTGCAGTAGCAGTTAGCCCATCTAAAAGGTGGAGAAATATTGTAGTAAACATATTGAGATGCGACAATTTATTAGAGTAAATGGATTAAAAGGGTAACCAATGACAAATTTTTACTCATCCAAAAAAGATGGGAATAAAAAGTTAAGGAACACAAACCAAGAAAGATGTGAAGACAGCAAAGAAGGCTCCAAAGCCAAGAATAACAGAATACCCTACGCCCTGATTAAGCACTGGTTTGCCTCCAAAGAAGCTGCTTTGCCTCACACAGCCACCTCCGTCTCCGGCCACGTGATAGTACTTGCTCGAAAACTCGAAAGGCGGACACTGAGACCAAGAGCTAGCCATGAAGATGATCAGAAGGCCGGTGGTGGCGTACCAGGGATGCAGGAAATTAGTCCTACTCCCACTCCAGACTCCAGCTACTACTTAATCACTTGTTTGGTTGGCTGCCGGTTTCTCCTTTGTTCGTCATCAAAGACAAAACCTACAGACTAGAAACTAACAAACAACGGATATGTAGAGAGGGCTGAGATATTGCTTTCTTCTTGTCCTGAGTTCTAAGCAATGCAAGTGTGTGTGAAGTGTGAGTCAAACAAGGAAGCTGTCTGTCCAATGGCGTTATAGTTTATCCCAATCACAATTCACAACTGTTCCAAGTCTTTGTATGGATATTATTGAGTAGATGTAATTTGTCTTGGAGTATGAGGAGATTCATGTAATTTGCTAATGTTGATAGGATAGCTAGACATGTTAACAAGCATGAAACGCTATAGAAAGAATCAAATTATTATTATTTTTAAGTTTCATTGAATATTGAAAGAATCATCGTTCCACCAATGATTGCTTATTCCGTTGACTTTGGATCTCCTAACTCAGTAATATTCATTGGTAAAACTACCAAAACCCATGGTAACCTTTAGGAAATAAAGTTTTATATGTTGTAATGTGTGAATGCCATGTAAATGTGAGCAACTACGAATGACCATTTTTCTACAAAATTTTCAAAAAAAGTGGCTTTGTAAGTTTGTTGGATTGAAAGGCACGAGCAACTAAGTATGACCAAGAAAGAACGAAAACCTCTATATAAAGAGGTATATTTGTATCATTGAAGAACACAACACAAAATAGAGAAATTCATGTAAGCTATGTCAAGCCTAGAAAGATAGAGAGAAAAATAGTGAGATTTATCTTTGTACTCCTGTAATTCAGATAATATGATAAACAACTACTGCCCCGAGGATGTAGGCACACTTGCCGAACCTTGTAAATATTGTGGCTTATTTACCTTATATTTCATTGCACGCATACTGTTGATTTCACAACATTATACTCCAAGCTTGAAATGACTAGTGGATGAAGGAATGTAGCCGGTATAAGATCAGTGAAAAACAGTCGAACTTCCTCTATTTTGGAGTTGAAGCTTGACGAGCTGAGGAAGGAGCTCTCGTCAGATCATGGAGGAATATTTCAGCATTCTGCTCTGTCTACTCAACAAATCAGCATGATAAGTGCCCAGAAGCCAAATTCAATGGAACTGGTTAGTTTTATTAACATTACTCTTCCATTCAAGATACATAACAAAAATATTCAGCTTCTGGTGGGAGCTTGTTCCCGACGTAGTTGTCTGTCAAAGAAATGTATTCATATTTCTATGCTGCTATTTCAGATTTTGTACATTATCTATGTCTGATTTGAAAATCTAGCAAGGGACGCGGGGGGATGAAGCGCTGAACAATTCAGTGCAGTGTATCTTATGCAATAACTGTGTTGTTGCTATGCAAACAAGGGCTAGGTGTCAGCCTGAATTGATGCATAAAAGATACTTAATTTCTTTGCGGTGGGAGAATATATTTCGAAAAGTGAAGACGGAGAAATACAGAAGTAGAATCCTTGAACAAGCAACAATGCATGCAGATTCGGGCGCAGCCTGACGAGGTTAAAGAAGAAGAAGAAACTGAAACTAGAGCCTTAAAAAGGCTAAAGAGGAAAAAGCACCTTATCCTTGTTGAGAGTATACTATGTAGATGGAAGTAATACGTAGTGATGAAGAATTATGATACGATCGGTTCTAACTAACGTAGGGATGGAAAAATATATTTTTGTAGAAAGTTTACACTGGATGATTTCATTGATATGGGTAGAGTAAATATATACAAGTCATTGACTTGAAGTACAAGTAACATTTCTTTTTGATACAAGAATTATAAATACAGAATCAGGAAATTTAAACAAAAAATAATTCCTAAAGGGAAGGAGAAGGACACCAGCGGGTTGATCCACATATGGTATAAATTGGACCTTGTGAAAGCCCAACTGAACACGCTCATGAACAAAATGATATTTTAATTCAATATGTTTGGTGCGACTATGAAAAACCAGATTAGCAGCCATACAAGTAGTGCTTAAGTTATCACAAAAGAGAAGAATAGGTCCAGGAGCTGACTATGAAGTTCGCGAAGAACATAAGACAACCAAATCGATTCCGCACAAGCACGAGCAAGAGCCATGTATTCTGATTCCGCAATCGAACGAGAAAGTGTCGGTTGTTTCGACGAGCTTCAAGTTAGAAGATCAGGACCATGAAAAATTAAGTACCCAGATGTAGAATTACGCGTATCAAGACATCTACCCCAATCAGCATTAAAGAACCCTCGTAACAGTGGAGGGCCAGTGGAAGGCCGAAACTGAATCCCAAGTTCGAGAGTGCCCTTAATATACGATGAATACGCTTAGCAGTAATGAGATGTAATGCACGAGGATTAGCCATGAACTGAGCAACATGATTAACCGCAAAATCAATGTCAGGGCGTGTCAAAGTGAGATAATGATGGGAACCAACCAATTGAGGAAACTCTATGGAGTCAGTGAGCAGGGAGTCACCCTGATTGGAAAGCTGGGCACAGCTAGCAATGCGTGTGGAGCACGGATTGCAATCAACGATGTTAGTCCACTTGAGAATATCCACGACATATTTGGTCTTAGATAAATGAAGGCCATAAGGAGCATGTGGGAGCACCTCAAGGAGGCCAAGAAAATAGTGGTGGAGCGGCCCAAGATCCTTTATATCAAATTCCTTGGCCAACAGAGCAATGAACCGAGTAAGAGGATCCTTATTATCACCAGTCAAAACTATATCATCAACATGAAGCAATAATACCAAGGTACAAGTACACCGATGAAAAATGAACAAGGAAGAATCAACTGGACTCTGAACAAACCCTTGACGAATAACAAAGGAATTGAATTGTTGAAACCAGACACCTGCATGAGACCATAAATAGCTTTGTGAAGTTTGCAGACATGGTGTGGCCTTTTTGGATTAACAAAACCGGGTGGCTGCACCATATAGACATCCTCAAGCAGAAAGCCTTGCAGAAAGGTATTTTTGATATCCAGCTGACGAAGGGACAAACCATGAGTGACAGCTAGGCTAGAACTATATGGATTGTAGCAGGTTTCTAAAGGTCTCATCATAATTGAACCCACTGCTGCTGATGAAATCCCTTGACCACTAGATGGACTTTGTACCGTTCAATGGAATCATCGGCAAGTCGTTTGATCTTGAAGACCCATTTACAACCAACAACATTGTGATGAGGAGAAGGTGACACAAGTGTCCAAGTCTGATTTTTAAGTAAGGTATTGAATTCCTCCATCATAGCAACACGCCACTCAGGAATACGAACTGCCAGCACATGACAAGTAGGCTTCATAGGAGCAATGAGAGCAACAGTAAGAGCATGAGGTAAAGGGTAGCGTACTGTTCTATTGGTTCGAATTTTGGGCCGAGAGTGCCCAGTTTGTGATCTGGTCACCATGGTGTGGCTGGAGACGGGAGGAGCAGCAACAACATGCTCCAATGTTGTTGCTGTAAAAATGGGCTCAGGGGGTTGAGCAGAAGAGGAGACCGTGGGGCCGAGGCCTGATGGATCAGGCGTGGAAGAAGGCCCACTACCTTTGGGTCCAGATACAGACAGAGTGGGAGGCGTGGGCCCAGGCGTAGGTAGAATAGGATGCACGGGCCCAGAGTCTGGTAATCTGGAAGATTGGGCAATAGCAAGGGTCCAGGAGCTAGGGATGGTGCGCTATGCACTGGTGGCTGGTGCAGATTCCAAGGCATGGTTTGGGGTCTGAATTTCCACAGGAATTGTGGCTGGAACAGTGCCAGACGGAGGAGGCCGAGCATAGGAAAAAATGCTTTCGTCAAATACCACATGACAAGAGATGTATCCACGAATAGTATGAGGATCGTAGCCTTCGTACTGCAAGCTGTAGCCTACAAAAACACATTCTTTGGAACGAGATGCCAATTTGTTAGCGGTATAAGCCTCTAGATATGGATAACACATACACCCAAATGTACAAAGAGAGATAATAGTAGGAAGACGACCATACGACCATAAAGACAAGTATTAAGCTGTAGCCTACAAAAACACATTCCTTGGCCGTCTTGTTAAACTTTTGTTTCTACAGTTTTCGTTACAAAAGCTTTGTTATGATTATAAGCAACACTAAAGGAAGCGGTTGATTTAAACCGGAATGCAATTGGTTGATAATTGAAGATAGTGCTTCACTCACAAAGGCAATCCACTTGTATTCGGGTATTTTGGGAGAAGAATGGGATGGATGGTGCTCTCTCCCTTTTAATTCCACTTTTTGTTAATAAAACGATATTGAGGCTGTATCTCCACTCTCATATTGTATTGTAATTGGACACTATACATCCGGTTATGTAGCAGGGAAATACCAATAAAGTTTTTTTCTGAGTTTATATAGAGCAATGAATATATATATATATATATATATATATATATATAGACTAGGATTCTGGGATCCACGTTTTGATACGCAATAATTAAAATAAAGAATCACAAGTGTTAAAGTGCAGTGAAGAAGATGATAAACGCACAGTCGGAATTGGCTAGATTTCGATGAGTTTTGTCCACGAGGTTAGGCCTTGCCTCCATTGCCGGATCGTCAAAACCTACGATAAGTTTAAAGAAAATGGATGCGAGAGCTGCCCTCTCTTTGAGATGGCCGCAACCCGCATGTATGGTCAGAATGTTTAGATCTGACATAAATAGGGGATGAAGGTATATCTTCCACCCATATCGGTGATTTCGCCCAAAAAATTGTGACCATTAAATTGAAATTGGAAATATCAATCGGAATGTCCTTGATTCCAGATGCATAAGTTATTTAATCGGAAATTATGGCGCTATGGATGCCGTTTGGGTTGTAGAGGCGTCTAATCAATGCGCGTCTAAGATGAGGAGCTACCCATAGAAACGACGTCATTGAACCCTTCACACCAAAAAAGTTGATTTTTTTTTGTACTTCAGTCTATTTGCATAAATTGCAAATTGGGACATTTTTTTTAATTTTTTGGGGCTTTTAGATCCAGGTCAAAAAACATAGAGAGTGTCACAGCCTGTCCTGGAGATGTACGTTAATTATGTTATTGATGGTGTGAAATTACCTAAATATCCTTGGAGTTGAGAATTATTATGGGATGTTGTGGTTTAAACTTTTTGGACCAATTAGTTATATTCCTCTTTTAGTGGATCCAATTAGAACTAAGAGTTCCCTTAGTTGAGATTGGTGTGCATTTTGG